TAGTACAGAGCTATACAAAAAAATGGTATTCAGGCTTGTCCATAGGCAAAACAGCTATCACATTTTGCTGGCCTTAGACCATTGCTGCTTTGTCTTTTTGAGTGATTTAGTTAAAAGTTGACTTTTCCCGCCGCACCTCCAAAGCCAGGGAAAAGCGCCCTGGGACGAGGTTAGACTTTCCTAGGCCTTTGGATATTGGGCAAGTGAGCTTGAAAGGTTACTTGTCCATCAAGCCGAGGCAGTATTTCTTGGAGTTTTATTTTTGCGATTTTAACAGGTAAACATGAGAAAAAGGGCATTTACTTTCGCGATTTAAGCGTTATCAACTTCATTTTCTTCTTTTAAAAGTCTGAACCTTTAAAAAAATGAGATAAACTGAAACAAGCAATGTATGAAATCTTTGCAAACTAACGTCATTTCACAAGGTACAAAATGAGTGTACCAGTAAATCCAGAAAGCAATTTGTGTTTGTCGATACATGTCGTTGCTATTTCATTGCGATTTTTTTACAATCGCGAAACATGCGAAATTACTGAAGTATTATAAGGTGGCCACGGACTACTAGGCATGACCTTTTTTCGCTCAAGTAGGTAAATACTGTTTTCCGGGAATGTGATCACTTCCTCTGTCTGATTCTCGAAGGTTCACAGGTCCCTGGTATTTGTCTTCCAGATTTTCTAAGAAGTAGAAGTTGGCACTTGCCATTTGTTGAGCTATTTTTTAACTTAGGACGTAAAAACCGTTCAAAGGAGATTTTAGAGTTATAGATTTAGTTTATAATCAATTTAATTTTAAAATAGTTTAAGAAAGAGACAGAAATTTTTAAACGCCGTTGGATTTTTTCGTCGTTTTTCATTAATACAATGTTTCAGCGGGAACGTCTCTCAGGCTAGTGGCTAGAATTCATGGATGAATTTGAACACAAGGATTTACTTCTGATAATCTCTACTTTACCGTTGATAAGGCCATTTAAAGATAGTGTTTTTTGGTTGTTTGTTTGTTTGTTTTTTGGGTTTTTTTTTTGTTAGCAGGCAACGCTACGGTCAAATTTGCTTGTCGGTTACTTTTCATTACTGCCTAAATTATTTACAACTACACTGTAAATCAGAAAGATCTGTTTTAGCGCTAAAAATGAGGCTGTTTCGGTGAGTAAAAAGACAGTCCTATTTTTGATTCTAATTTGGCTGCCTAAAATCAGGGCCAATACACTGGTCCAATTACCTAGGGCTTATCTGGATCCAAGAGCTGAAATGGGCCCCAGCGTGGCCTGGAATAGCCTTTTGATTGAGCTGTTTTGCCTAAATTGTGCTCAAATGGCTCTAGAAGGGACTGAATCAGACTTTGGCCTGCAGGACTGAATTGGCACTTTGTGGCTGAAACAGATCTTTTTAATTTTCAACGTATCCTACACAGAAACACTTTCCACAAAAAAGCAAAGGACCATCGCAGTACAGTGTGATACAGGCTGATCTTGAAAGCATTCTGCTAGTTCTGCGTAGCATTCCTAGTGTAGATGATGACTTAATTCTGCGTATAAGGATTGTTCCTTTCTTGAAAGCGTCTAGTCAATGAAAACACCTGCTGTAAGTACTTAAACTTACCTACCCTTTTTAAGCTGACATTTTCAGCTTAGAAACTAAAGTTCTCAACTGATCGAAGCAAGGCGTTTGCGGGTAAATAATACTATACGGAATACATAATAAATAAATAATACTAAATTAATAAATAAATAAAATAAATAATACTAAATGAATAAATAAATGATCTGAAATAAATAGGCTTCTATATTTAAGGCGGAAACAAGAATATCAATACTGTCTATCCTCATTGCAATGATAAAAATTGGCCACGAGTAAAACCGAAGTCCTGAATTGTAAAAGGTATACCTATAAACGCAGGTGAGTACTTTCTTCTTCTTTTTTTTTTCAAGGCAAACCTCAATTTAAATTTTACCCTGTATTAAAACGCTGATTTTGAGTGCAAATATTAAAATCTAAGTTATGGTGCATATCAAACTAGAAATCCTTTCAGGGGTCTTTTTAACCTTTTGTTTTTGTCTAGGTCTTTCGGGAATGATTCTTTTTTCCGTGTTTTGCAAGATGACCACGTCCTGCATGGCTGGAATGATGCCCTTGCGAAAAGCAATGGAAAGGAGCTCCTCTGCGGTCTTTGTNTAAATAAAATAAATAATACTAAATGAATAAATAAATGATCTGAAATAAATAGGCTTCTATATTTAAGGCGGAAACAAGAATATCAATACTGTCTATCCTCATTGCAATGATAAAAATTGGCCACGAGTAAAACCGAAGTCCTGAATTGTAAAAGGTATACCTATAAACGCAGGTGAGTACTTTCTTCTTCTTTTTTTTTTCAAGGCAAACCTCAATTTAAATTTTACCCTGTATTAAAACGCTGATTTTGAGTGCAAATATTAAAATCTAAGTTATGGTGCATATCAAACTAGAAATCCTTTCAGGGGTCTTTTTAACCTTTTGTTTTTGTCTAGGTCTTTCGGGAATGATTCTTTTTTCCGTGTTTTGCAAGATGACCACGTCCTGCATGGCTGGAATGATGCCCTTGCGAAAAGCAATGGAAAGGAGCTCCTCTGCGGTCTTTGTCTGAGGATACTGACGAATGGCCCATTTGAGGTAGAGTGCAAACTCATTCCAATCCACTCTGCCGTCTTCATCCATATCAATCGCCTTCAGCGCGCGTCTTGTGTCATCGCACCTAAAGCAGCCGAAGTAGGGCGCCATGAAGCCGTTGTAAAATGAATCGAACTCAAGCTCGTCATCTCCTTTGGATTCCTCTCTAAGATCCCACTCATCCCACATTTGTCGTATTTCGTTGATCAGTCTTCGAGCGTGAGCCTCGTTTGGGACTTCTGCTGCAATCACGTCGCTCATCTTGGCGGTTATTTGGCCACCAGACCGGTCAAATAGAACTGCAAGACCAACTGCGCTCATGTATTCCTCTTTCCTGTTGATGTGCAGATCTTCCAGCATGACCTCTTTCATTCTCATGCCTATTTCCTCCGTGAACTGTGGATCCTCTCCGAACAAATGTTTTAGTCTTTCAACGATCATTTTAGGTGTGGCCACGGTAGTAATTCGTATTGGGGGCTCTTCTCCAAAGAACTTGGCAACATCAAATTCTTGCTTGTCTGGCTGCAACTGGGGAACTCCGAGAACCATATCAAGGGCTCTCTCACCATACACAATCTGCGTTGGATGAGGTTCAAACCCAGTTGTGATCCTAGTGATCTCTTGAGCGGCTTTACGAAGGTATGTACAGTTAAACTGTCGCAAAACCTTTTCATTCCCAAGACGGACCAAGTTCATTATGGTCACGCTAGAGGAAGCATGACCGACGAAGGCGCCTTCTTTAATCAAACTAGCCCATATACCATCTGCTCCCCTGGCAAGACACTCCAACACGGTGCAGTCAGCCATTCCCCATTGCTCGTGGACATGCACCAATAGCTTACCGTCCTTCCAACAACAATCGTCCATCTCTCTACGAACCGCCGCCGTCCAGGCAGCGAGTTCATGTGGCATGGACTTGCCAGTTGGTTCTTCGTACATCAACCCAAAGGGATGCTCACTTGGGGGCAAAGAGGACAAGTAATGGACCACTTGGAAAATTCGTTCAGGCTTCTTCAGCATACTCTCTGGAAAGTCTCGTAGGTTGATAAGTATGCGGGAATCCTTGGAAAGATTTTCTCGAACCCACCTCATTCGATCAGAAAGAAGGTTGTTGATATCTTCAGGAAGAAACTTTTTGTAGTCGATGCCAGAGTAGACTAAGTCAACCTCAATAATGGCATGTTTGATGCCATACTCTTTCATCTTTTTTAAACCAATGGGAACAGTTACTGTATCGGGAGCTCTATCTTTGTCGACAGATTCAATGAACTCTGTGAAGGCAAAAAATTTACTGAAGTCTTCTCCTTTTTCTTTAAGTTGACGACAGAATGTGTCCCCCAGGCGGGTCATGTGGTGAAACGATGCGACGATGATATTCTGGAAGCCTACTTTTTTCACCTATAGATGAATAATAACGAAACAAAAAATGGGAAGTTAGGGCGTTCCTATAGATATATATATTTTTTGTAAGGTTAGTTTCTGGGAGAAGGGTGGGAAGAATTAGTGGGCAAGAGTGACAGAAGAGAGAGGAGGAGAAGAATATGGAAAAACAGAAGGAGATCGATTGGTGACTGGTGGAGACGAAGAAGAAACAGATGCAGAAGAAAGAGAAAGAGAAGGAAATGGAGGAAAAGATGAACAAGAAGGATGGGGAAGGAAGAAGTGAAGAGTGGGAGACATGAAGAGGGGGTAGGGGGAGGAGAGAGGGCAAGGAAGCGGAGGGAGGAAGATGAGAGGAGCAAAAAGGTCAAAAAGAGCAGAACTCAGGAGAAGATGAAGCAGAACGTGGAGTAACAAGAGGAGAAGAAGAAAAGTGTAGAAGAAAGAAGACAAAAAGGAAAGGCAAGAGGAGGAGGAGGAAGAGGCAGATTCAGAAAACTAACGAAATGGAGGGGGAGGAGAAGAAAAGAAACAGATTAAGTTGAAGTTCTTAGCCAAACGAACACCATATCATACTCTTCCAGTGTAGGAATTTTATTCACTATATAGAGTAATCATAAGGAATATTCAGATGGGACTGGCTCACCTCATTGTATATTTTCCATTTGTTTTCGACAGTATGGCCACGGAGCTGTCCTACAGTGCTTTCTCGGAGGGAATTGTCCAAAACGAAAAGGTCCAGTTCCTTAAGTTGCTTCAGTTGTTCTTTTGGTTCTCGAAGGTCCTCATTCATGTGATTAATTTGTTCCAGGAAATACATGGTAGATTTACTTGAGCTAAAGAAAGGAACACAAAGATGAGTCAATTCTGAATCAATTGCAAGACTTGGTTCTATTTAGGAACAGTTTGAATCGTTTCGTATAGTTCTCAATCTGCTTCTTCTTCCTTTTTATGAACCTAGTTTGATGGCCTTACTCCCACGATTCACCTGTAGCTTAGTGGCAGAGCATCTAGTCTAGAAACCAGAAGGTGATAGGTTCGACTCTTATTGGAAGTACTGGGATTTTTTTCTTCTGAGCAGCCAATGTCACTGACTGTGAAAAAACGCATCTTTCTCAATACGCTCTTCTCACATATGGTAATATGCCCGTCTAACCTCGTTTACGGGTAAAAATTCTTTTGAAATTCAAATACGAAAACGTCGTCTGATTAGCATTTCAAAGGATTTTTTACTCAAAAACGAGGTTAGACGGGCATATTACCATACGTGAGAAGAGCGTATACCTTAGTCTTAACACATCACGGAAGCTTTGGAAAGTTAAGACGACTTTGAACCTCTCTCCGCAAATTTTATCGAACTTTGCAACTAGTTATTTTCAATGATTACTCGATGAAAACAAAGCATCACCTTGGCCTCTCTGAAGCTTAAAATTATCAGACTCAGGCTCTTATTTCCGGTAGAGCTTTCACCTCCTAGCGTATCTGTTGTCTTTGAAATTATATCGGGGCGAATACATGCTTATTCGATGGAGTCAATTCTTATATCTTGATTTGTTTGAATGGTAATATTTCTGAGAATCCGATCAATTCCTTCAGTTCCAAATCACTCTTACTGACGTAATAAGGGAGGGGCGTAATACAAAGGATGGTTTCCTACTGTGTGTTTTAACAATCTGGGTCTAAAATACCACTAATGTATACCACTCATCGCTAACTTTCACGCTCCTTTAAAGGCCTGACGCTGAATAATGAAATAAGTGTATAGCCTATACCGTGGAGAAAAAACCGTACGATGTTCAGAGGCACATATACCCGTTTGAGCCAAATAAGGGAGTGCCCCCCCCCCCCTTCCCGTGGCTACTATACTAGGTGTAACTATTTACTAATCTGACTCGAGAAAAGCTAGCGTCTGACGTTTCCTTGTGGCATCAGAATTCTCATGCATGCTTAGCCGATAACATTAATAGACAATATTCGTATTCTCCGACGGCCCTAGGACGAAAGACTTCTCAGCATGATTGCAAGGCTAATGCGGGGAACTTCTTGGCGAAAACAAAACTCAGGAAGTCGCGGCTGAAGCGCTGCAAAACGATAGATATCAGAAAAAACCCCTGCAAGATTTAAAAGCTGAAACCTTAGGGGTATGCCGAAGGGATATCTGTTCCAAACAACGAAACTGTGAAAGAGCTGGTCGTACTAACAGTAAAATTAAAAAGCCACGGAGCCACTAGAAGAGGCAAGTAGACTAGTCTAAAAAATGGTAAATTGTGTCAAAATATGATGATTCGAATCCTTTTGATTTCATACTTCTTATTATTCCTAATTACCTGTGTGTGGTGTATCTGTAAAATGGAGTTTAAACTGCTCAGTATTATCGTCTTTGCAAACGTCTGAGTTCAACTTCTCGTCGAGTGAAATGTTATTGGTTATGTACTCAGTTGTGACCGAATATGTTGATAAATAATATATTAAACGTGAATTTATGAGTAAACTTTACTTTTCAAGCCATCTCTGTTCAAACCGATTTAACTTCCTTACAAATCAAGGACTGTGTGCAGAACGCTGAGCCCTGTCCTGATAGATAGGCGCCGAATATACTTGTCCTATTTATTTCGAATACGCAAGATTTTGTACTTTGTACCTGCTACGTAAGCAAATTTCAACTGCAAAGTAGAAGTTTTACTTTTTTACAGGGTTTTGACAGGTAAGTCCATTTCAATATATGATACCCTTCAAAAAGTTTTAATATAAACAAAGGCCTCAAGAATTTTGAGACCACAAAATTGCATTATATTTTCATTAATAAAATCGCTCACCAACTACTCTTTCCAACAATATCTGGTTAGGCTCGGTGCTTTTCTCAGCAAATAAAGACGAGCAGAAATCTTCCTTTTGCTATTTAAAATAATGATCCGTCAAACCTGCAATCTCTCCGAAATTTCCAACGTTAAACATTTTCCTTGATTTTTGACAACCCAGTCGTAGTTTTCTTATGTTTGTTTGTCTTCTCGGTAAGAAGATCCCCGCATTAGCCTCGCATGGTTAAGGCCTACTCGTCCCAGGACCGTCGGGGAAACGAATATTGTCTATTCCTATATTTTAATTTGCTCGCATAGCAACTAAATTATTTTCCTGGAAACCGATCACGCCCTCAATCGAATCGCCCGTTAGGTACGCATGAACACAGGAATATTACTTAGACTACTTAGTAATTGTTTTCTTGAGTTTGGCCGTTTATTTTATGAAATATAGCGATTGGAAGTACTTCGATTTTTAGAATAACTAGACGCAGACAAGGTAAAAACAAATTATTTGAGTATCATTATTTATTTATAGCATTATTAGACAATGTATTATGCATGGAAAGGTCTCTAAATTTACTTATCAACGTAAGCACTTTAATTCATTATTTGCAAGTTTATACTACTACATGAGAAATTTCTTCAATTTGATTGGCTAAGAGCATTAGTATTTCAGCTTAATTTGAAATACCTACATGTGAAAATTACAAAACCTTTGCGTGTAGTAGTATAAACAAATAATAGCATGATTTGTACGTGATTGGCATAAATACCACTAGTGATATTTCAAAATCGTCTCAAATTACGTATAACAATTTTGAAATATCACTCGTGGTATTTATGCCAAATATCACTACAAATCATGCTATTACCTATACTAATTTGGAAAATAAAAAAATTGGTCACACAGTAAATCAAAGACGATAAACAGTTCATTGAAAAGGAAAAACGCTAAAAGCTATAAATCTCGTTCAACGGATCTTCTATCCTTTATAACACTCCTAAATCAAACAAGAAAGTGTTGCGCATCATTTCAAGTTATTTTTATTAGAAAAGCCGAAGTTTCGTTCTTTTAGTATATTGTGCCCCTGGTAAACAAGCTTTTCTGAGATATGAAATGAAAACAGTTCGCTCATTGTTTGCAAGTACAATCACTGGATTAGGATAACACAAAGACTTCGTGCCAATGTCGAGACTGCAAATGCGGAAATCAAAGTTTTACATTAAAACAGTTTTCTTGAAATGGAATAAAGGACATATGAAGAATCGACAAGATCACTGCTAATTATAGAAAACTATATCAGGGTAAGTCGACTGTTTTTTAAAATCAAATTTCATAAACCACTTTTCTTGGAAATATAAACGAGGAGAAACAAAATGATAAGTACTATCTACAGCCGTAGGAGTTTCTTTGAGCTTCAAGATGTTAGAAAAAATTTCGCAGCACTTGTTGGATTAAAAAGTCAAAACAAAGGCAATAAGACGATGTTGTTCTTAAGGGCTCTTTCCTTCCGGGTGAAGATCGAAAAAGGAAGCAAGAACTTGAGCAGGGACTGAGATATTACACTCAAACTCAACTCGACACTATACTTGCAGATTAGAACTTGCTCAAGTTTGCCAAAATTTCTCTATACTACTCTAAGGAGTCATAATTTTGTGTGTTTCTTCAGTTAACTGCCAAAATTGAGTTTAAATATCACAATAAATTATCATAGTTGTACGATTCCTTCAACTTTTTGTTGTCCTCTGATTCAAAGTGGTCAACTGATTTATTCAACATTTTCACGGGAGACTACAAACTTCCTTGTTTCAACCTGTTTTGTACTTGTACTTGTACTTGTTTAGGAGTTGTTTATAAATACCATGAGTAAAAACTTAACAGGTTGAAGTTATCGTGTTTAAGTAAACGAAATTGAGAACCAATATTTGTACCTCTAATTAAAGAAAAATGGAACAACACTATTTTACTAAGTTTACAAAAATTACATTTTTTGCATGTTCCGACGACATTTTCAACGGTGCCAAATGACGTGACGTAAAGGAGGTTTATTCGTCAGTAGGGTTTTTCCGGAAAAGAAATTCTAAATCTAGCGCTTTGCACAAATGACGTCACAAGTTGTGACACAGACATTTAAAAACCTATCAAGTATAAGAATTTCGTATGGGAAAGACACGCTCGAAATTTTCGTCGTCTTTGAAGATTTTTATCGTCAAAAGAAACAAAATCCAGCTTGATTTCGATAACATATATCCTGAAAATAATCAACGTGTGCCAAGACAACGTTAAACATGTGAACTGAGTAAAATTATGTTGCGGCATTTTACTAAGAAATGTATGGAGAACAGAGCTATTCATAAAACGGTGAATTTGATTAAATGTATGGGCAAAAGCTGCTCAGTATGTTTTTGAGTGCTTATATTACGCTACTTAGTACTACAGGATATACTACCTGGCCGCACAACAACGGAACAAACTTATCAATTTCCGGTTTATGCTAATTTGGAGTGCTTTTCAGCTTAGAAATTCTGCCACAGGTCCCACAGTCTTGCAAGAGGCACATACAAACTCAATTTTCTCTCGTTAGCAATTTTCGGTTTTGGAGTATCATACAGCCAGAAATATTATGTCGTGTCTCGGTGCATAGAGTGCTATCTGACTAAGACAGAGCTAGGGATCCGATTTCAGTAGCCTTCTTTGATGAGGTCGCTTTATTTTCTGTTTTTAACCGCTTATTTGAGTTACTTGGACCAGGTTTTGCTCCCTATAGCAGTAATGCCTTTTATATATTACAAAAAAGCTCAAAAAACATTTTTAAAACGCTCATTGCGAAGTTTATGAACAATTTTCATGTCGGAAAGGCATGTTGCTCATACAAAGCGTTGGTACGTTGATTCTAAGTCACACGGGGGGTCCAAGTGACAAAACCTATTTTTAGTATAAAAAAATAGTGCAAAGCGCTATTATCTGGTAAGGGGGTGGTTGATAAAACTTTGAAACGTTTGAAAACGAGGAAGTTGATTGTGGTTTCCCTATAGTTAAATAACCGTTGACCTCCTTGAACATAAACAGAATTTAAAAGGTTGATTTCATATCAATTGGTAAAACAAAGAAAAGGTGCTCTTTACTTTGAAATTCTTATTTTATTGGCTAACCTTTAAAATGTCAGTAACTACTCCGTTCTATATGTCAGGTACAAATGAACAGGCGGGGACACTTGCTGGAAAGTTTTAGGTTTTGGCCGGCTCTATGTATGCTTATTTATTATATATGTATGTATGTATTACCCACTGAAAAGGCTCGAAATAAATTTGGTTCACAAGCTGGTCTAAGAACCCGACAGCCAATCAAATGGCGCCTATCGCTTTTTCCACGTGTGAGGAAAACGATACGTCCAATCAGGTGCTGCGTATCATGTGAGCCGTAACAAGGTGATTTTCATTCAGCTTGCAGCATTTCACTTTTTTAAAGAAATCTTTCGCACGAGTTGAAGCTTTAAAACATGAACGAGAAAAGGTTTGTTGATCACGATACTTCAGTCGAGGATTACGTGGAAAGTCTCGAAAACAGGAATACGAAAGACAAAAAGAAACGAGATGTGAAATTGCTGGAAACGTTTTTGAGAAACGAAAAGAACGACGAGCGAGAAGTGCAAGACTCGTTCTGTGAGACGTAAAGAGGGGATTATGAGCTTTCAAGTTTAAGATGCCTTGTTTCAAGTATTGAAAGACATTTGAAGAAAAATAATTATACTAAGAGTATCATTAACGATAAAGAGTTTGAATAGTTTAGAAAGTGTTTACAGGCTAAACAAAAAGAGCTGAAGAAAGCAGGCAGTCGATATACTTTACGAAAATAATATGCTTGGAGTTTCCTCTGCTGAATCATTGTTAAACACTGTTTGGCTGAACAACACCATTCATTTTGGAATGCGTGGTTGTCTAGAGCATAGGGATTTGTGCTGGGGAGATTTAAAGCTCTGTATAAAAGACGCACAAGGTAACGAATATCTAGTTTACAATGAAAGACAGACAAAAACAAGGTCTGGAGTAGACGCCTCAAACGTTCGAAAAGTTTCCCCGAAAAAGCTTTCAACTGGTGATGAACGAGATCCTGTGGTGGCGTAACCTGAGATCAGGCTCTATTTTCATTTCGCTTTGAAAATTACATTCCGGCGGGCATGGCGAAACGAAAAGAAAGCCCAATTTTAGCCGTTAAAGAGAATGTATGAGAACCGCGTACAAAATTTACCGTGAAAAGCGACCGGAAAACATGATGGCTGACGAGGCGCCATTCTACTTGGAAATAAACCACACGAAAACAGACGGCTCCAAAACACACTGGTTCAAGTCGGCACCTATGGGTGTAAATAAATTAAACACTTTGATGAAAACAATGGCTTCAAAAGCAAACATCAACAACGAGCGACTCACCAACCATCAGGGGCACCCAACGAGAATATAGTTCAAAACCACTTAAACATAGCATTGTTAAACGTATTTTAGTATAAAAAAAGGTAGATATAGGCATATTTTTATCCCCTAAAACTTTTTCATCTGTTCGGATTTCCTACCTGAAAGTGTAGTGATCCGAAAATTATAGAGATCAAAACTTTCCTTTTCGAAAATTTCAGCCTGGCAAAAAACTCCCGAAAATTCTAGGTGATATTTTTAGGGTAAAAATCCGTTAAAAATGGGCAGTTATACCATTTTTTAGATGTTCGAAAATCCTAGGAGAGGCAGGCAAGCAAGAAATTTCAAAACAAATGTTCCGAAAATTCTAGATCTCAAATCGTCTTCCGAACAGGTATTTTCCGAAAATTAATGTTGGGTGCCCCTGAACCATAGTGCTCGTAAACACATGATTCAAAAACTTAATGACAGTGAAATTCCGCCAACGCATATAATGCAGTTAAATGGGCACAAAAACGTGCAAAGCATAACAAACTATAGTAGCTTGAGCCTAAATCAACAAAAAAAACATATCGGGTATCTTAAGCCGAGCATCGTCGCAAACACAAGTAACTACTGCAACTAACGAAACTGCTGCTGCGAGCACTTGCACTAGTAAAACCCCGATGAGTTTTTTCGATGGAGCAGTAATAAGTGGAGGACAATTTACGATTTCCATTAATGCGCTTACTACCTCGCCGACCATTCAAACCAGGAGTTCCGTCACCAAAACCACCGAAAAAAGTTGGAAGAGAATCCGAATTGAGGAGTTCGACTCGGATTAAAGTTTAGAAATAATATTTTAAAATTATTTGCTTGCTGTAATGTTAAATTTCTGGCAGAAATTCAAGCTTATGTTATAATCCTCGCATGAGTTTTTAACTTGAATTCATGTAACAGAGTTTTGTCTTGGTCTGTCATTAAAGACGATAAACAAGAATTTAAATCTCAGTATACATATATAATAAACACAATACCACATGGAAAGTGCTTTGTACGGTATTTACGTACTCGTTGTTTTTGTATCAGAAATCTCAATCATTCGCTGCGCTCACTCGTTCGATTTGTGATGTAAATACCGTACGCCCACACTTTCCGTGAAGTATTCTCTATATATATTTCGCCACCGGGACTAAACTGAAAATTAGCCCAAATTCATGGCCTGTAATCTGTAGCTGCAAATTTTAAGATGCCAAATTTCGTTTTCGTCAGAGAGTCAAATCTTTTCTTTAGGACACATTTCAACATTTCAACTCAATCATAGACTGAGTAAGAAATGAAAACGAAGTTTGCGAAACTCTATTATTGACCAAACGTGTTGTCGGTTGAGTGCTTCCACTTTGAAGCTGCTCATTGTTCATCCTTTGCTCTGAAAAATCCTTCTGTGTGAGTAAATAAAAATCGCTGGGTTCCGATACCATGCGAGCTTCATGCCATTATTTGAGAAAAACGTTTACGTTGCAACAGTTTTCTGAATGCATTTTGCGACGCTTTAATGTCAGTGTAATGTGTTTAAAATTTGAATAAAGGAAACTGGGGGCAATGAGTAATGCCAAGGTTGAAAACTAATTCTAAAGACGTTAATGAATCTCTAGAACTACATTTTGTTTCGATTGACAAAAATCCAAACCTAGCAGGCAAAACAGCTCTAACGTAATTTGGTCCCTGTTCTGCCAGGGTGAAATCAACAAAAGGAGGCATTCATTCGATCATGGACGCTGAATATCACACTGAACACTCAACTCACGCGTAGTGCAGTTTCTTTACTTACGCATTAGAGCGTTGAACAAGTCTGCTAACACTTCTCTGTACTTCAACAGGGAGTCAACCAGTCTGGACGTTTCTCTCCCACAGTAAGTGGGGTTTAAATAGGATCGCGCCTAGACTGCAAGCAGTCTCTCTTCTCTCCGCCAGACGCGGGAAACGAGGGCGGCAGCCCGAGAAGAAAAAAGAGAGATTGCTCGCATAGCCAGACCCAATGAAGTATGCGTTGGTCTCACAACGCAAAATACGATTGGCTGATGCGTGAAGCGTTGACAACAAACTGTCAACAATCGAAACCATTGACAAGTTGATTAGGGCTGAAGCACTGCAGGAATGTTTGTCACGTTTCCCGAAAAAAAAAATATATACGGAGCAAAGAGAAGCGTAAGAAGGTCTCATCTCTCCGGGTACGTGACATGTCGCCCAATTTCAATGCTCAAAGCCTCTCTTCACTGTCAAGGAACGCTTTAGTTCCAAAACGGTAGTCCTACTTTGGAACTTAAAACAGAAAGTAGCATAGACTGGAAGACTCTTAGACTGTTTATTTTATACGAAGCTAAAACAAAAGTAATTACCTACGGATGCACTACAGGACATCGCACTATAGAACAAAGATTCGTTACATTGAATCTCAAGAAAGAAAGGAAGAAAAAATAAATCGGCGCCCAAAGAATGATTTTGAGTGACTTGCAGCGTTGGCTTAGCCTTAGTTAAGCTACAATTAGGATATGTAGAACAATATTCCGTGAAAATTCAAAAGCAGCTGGTGTGCGCACCACGATTGCGATGCATTGTGGATGCAACATTTTCAAAATGGCGGCGAAGGTCGAGAAATTTCGCAGGTTATATGCTTTGTTTTTCAATAGATATAGTTCTTTCCTTAGATTCCAACAACAAAGAAAGATGTTCTGCAGGAAATTTGGATGACCTTCTATGAAAGTATTGCAAATCAAGGTAGGCGGACGTAAGCTGTTCGGACGTTCATTGAAACGTCTGGCGAATGTAGCCAATGTGCAATGTACTTCGACAAGGAAGCGAGGTGTATAACTGATACCAGCTAGCTAATTCACTTAGCCTGCAAAGCAGGCGTATTTTGCTGTACGATCGATTTGTACTTTTGACTGACCGAGCGTTGGGGCGAGTCAAAAAATGATTTAATACAATAAAACGCCTCCTCTGGGGCTATAATTCACCTATTTGGAGAAGAAGGAGCACAAGTGTTTAAGAGCGGCTCCGCGTAAATATCAACTAGACGTGGAAATAGTCAAAAAATGACCTGGCCTCAAACTCAGCCAGAATAAAGCCCTATGGGCCCTAGTTACAAAATCGTTGGTTTAAGTACGATCGAGTGAATAATATTTTTTTAACGAATTTTTTTCTTCCCGAGGCCTAAAATGGGCAAAAATCATGCGAAATTAGAGTCATATTCAGTAACTCGTAAATTTTAAAATAAAGTTGGCAACTAAAATATAATGACACTTCGTATTTTTACTATCTTTCCTCTATAATTTTAACTGATTAGTTCGCGATTTGGTCAACAAGAGATTTTTAAAGAAATTTTCAAA